AGAAATTATCAGAATGAGTTTTCTGAGCCACTGTACCTTTGTAATCACCATTAGACTCATTCAGCACTTTTCAAATCCTCTGCGCTCTCCTCAGCTCATTGCTCTGAAATGTTAGTATTGGAATTACCAGTGTGGATGTTAAGCAGTGCAGCATGATGTTTCTAAGTTTCTGGCAGAGTGAATTGCGTCATGGTGCTTGTTTTGTCTCAGATGGTGCCCAACTGACCCTACTATACTGTGCAGTTAGCAAAATTGAAAACAAACAACATGCATGCACAAAATTAAAATATGAAATGGCAACAATTTGCCCATTGCACCCTATATATATATATATATATATGTGTGTGTGTGTGTGTGTAATGTATGCAAAAGTATTTTCTTTTACATTATTTTCCTTATTTTTATATATTCATTACTTTGTGTTTAATTTAGTAACTTTTATTTGCCCAATTAGTAAAACTGTTTAATATATGAACTAATAATAAATAAGAGAGAATTTTTTTTTTTTTTCACAATTAGCAATAATTACTTTTACATAAGTATTTGACCTTCAGCTAAAAATAAATTTAGCAGCAAATTAGGTCATAAGCCACAGCTAAAGTTAAGCCATTCTCATACCCACCACGTCATGTAATGCTCAGTTGGGGACAAAATTATTAACAACCCATTGAAAATTTAATTCTTTTTAAATTATTTCCCAAATGCTGTTTAATAGAGTGTAGCATTCCTAATACAGCATTTCCAAATTTATATTTATTTTATTCCGAAAGCTTATATTATAAGAGATTTCTCAGAGTTAACCTGTAGAAAAAAGACAATATTTATAAATGTAAAGGACAATAGGTAAACTGTAATATTAGTCGATGTATTTTGTCCAATGTGGACTTTCCATTTTTTTTTTTTGTTGTTTTTGCCTTGAAAAAGTCCACATTGGACAAAATGTGTCGGCTAATATTACAGTTTTCCTATTGTCTTTTATATTTGATAAATAAAGCTTATATTATTTTACTTTGCACACAGAAGCAAAGTTAATTCACGTTACTCAAAAAATACCAAAATTCTAAAATTATTAGCATTTCCTGATGCTAGGTCAGTTGCATGACTTTATTTTTCTTTCAGTTTTAAATATACTTCCAATGTAGTCTATATTCCCCTTGCAACCATTTTGTATAATTTTCGACAAGTTAGGTCTGTCCTCTAATGAACCCCAGTCTACTATTCCTCTTTGACAAAATCTTTTAAGTTTTTATGGATCACCATGAGATTGAAAGTCAATGTACCCCACAACAGGAATTGAAACTCTGTTCCTATTGTAATATAAGGAAACCATCTTCAAACCAGCATTAATTTACCACTATGCTACTAGAATGTTTATCGTGATAAGAAATAGTTTTAGATTAAATGAATTCATTAATTACTTAAAAAGTTACTTTGTTTATATCTTGGTTCTGACAACACACACACACGTGTGTGCATGTGTGGTGAATAAAGAAAAAGGAAAACTTATCTGAGCTGACGTGTTTCATCCTCTGAGAGACTTTGAGACAAGTGCAAGCATTTTATTTTGTAACAAGTATTTATATACAAGAGCAAATATTTTAATGGTTTTTTAAAATTTATAAACTTAAAGCTCATAAATATTCATCAGGTTAGCCAAAAAGTTTTAAGCAAGCTATGGAGAACGCCAAATGGCATGATTCAAATGTTATTTTTCCTATATATCCATAAAATCTTGCTTCTTACCTCCACTTCTTCTGTTCATACAATAATCTCATTCACTAATTCTCTATTTTGAGTGGCTCTTGAGCCTTGTATCAGATGAAAATAATAAAAAAAATTCCTACGTGTAGCCTAATCAGGCAACAATGCTCTCATACAAAAATAAAGAATATAGGTAAATTTAATTCAATAAAAATATCAAAAAAATGCAACATCTACAAAATGCTATAGTAGAATGCGTTTGAGCTCACAAAGAGAAACTGGCTTGAAAGGCAAGATGGCCTGAAAGAAGCCAATTCTAATAAAATAAATACATTCAAGAGAGAATGACTTTTGCAAAAGTACATATGGGTAATTCTGAAGTAAAGTTATTTGGCCAAATTTCAAATAATATAAATGGCATAAAATTAGAATTGCTCACTATTCAGAAAACACAATCTTTCTTGTCAAGCATACAGTTGGATGTATTGTATCTTATGGGGCCTTCTTTACATTTGGGACTGGGGTTCTTATCATCATAAAGGAAACAATAGACAGTGCAATATACTGCCAAATTCTTGAAGAGAATCTCTTGAAATCAGCCAGGAATTTCAACTTTCCTCACAATTTCACCACCCAATAATACAATGATCAAAAATATACAGCCAAAACTATTTGGGAATAGTTCAGATTATAGAAAATCAAAGTTCTGGTTGAATTAAAGTTCAAATATGAACCACCAATCAAAATCTGTGCTGTGAGTTCAAATATGTGAAGCATTGTAGATCACCAAGAGTAGAACAGAGTATATTTTTGCTATGAAAAATAGTATAAAATCCATGATTTTTAATGTGAAATACTTATATCTGGCAACTGTAAGTATTATTTTCAGTCATAAATAATTTCCATTTTGGAGAACAAAATGCAATAGCAAATGTATCACCTTAGTTACCAATCTTGTGTGCCAGTTAAGAATAAATTTGGAGGACATTAATATACTTTAGATTTTCACACAGAAATGGCAGCGTAAACAGTGGATGAAAAAGAAATGTTGTTCTCCATCAGAGTGCATGCAGTGAGAATAGTACGAGAAAACAGTTTGAAACTCCATTGGTTGGTTTTGCCCGACCTGAGCTTGCACTAAATGATTATTGCTTTTGATAGGCAAACTGTAAAATGATTTATTGGACATAAAACCTTCTCTAATGAAAACCAGATTCAAGAGTTTCTTGGTAAATTTTTCATATCAAAACCTGTGGAATTTTACTCTAAAGGCATGGAAGAGCTGCCTCATAAGAGATGACAATCAGTGAATAAAATAAAATTGTATTTTACATTCTTAAGAATAAAATTTATAAACAAAAGCTGAAATTATTTATGACTTAGTCTAATAAGTGCAGTCATTCACTCATGAACATGAGGCTTGTTTTAAACGTTACTACTAATAATAATAATAAATCATTGACTATAAGAAGTAAGAAGAATTAGTGTAGTGCTTTACAAGAGAATTTTAAAGTTTTGAACTGAAGTTTTGGAAAGTTTAAATGCAAAAATCTGGTAAAGAATTGTGAATATTTTGCAATGCTTCTGTAGGGAGAATATATATATATATATATATATATATATATATATACATACATAATTGATTTTTAATCAGTCATTATTCTTTATTACTACACCTATTATATTTAGTCAGTACACAAACAGGAATAATTTAAATTTATTTTCAAACAGTGAAATCAACGTCTACCAGCCTAGATATATTTATATCTTATCTATATCTTATTACAATAAATGTTACAATTAGTGTTGTACACGTGTTTGAGTAGATATTCTTGTTATTTTTTAAACAGTAAAATTAATGTAATGTTAATTGGCCTAAAGATCAAACCTGTATTCATTTTTATCCCATCAGGTAAACCATGTTTAGGCCAAGTGTGCCCTACCAATTTGGCCACAGGTAACAATCATGATAAAGCTATATATACATATATATATATATATATATATATATATATATATATATATATATATATTTAATAACTGACTTGGGCATTGTGCAGAAAAGAACAAAAAATTTAACATTTTTAATTAAGTGAGAGATAAATAATCCAAATTTTAATCATTGACTATATTTTTGTCCTCACATATATATATACATATATATATATATATATATTTTGAATAAAACAGACCACTTTAAGGTTCCATGTAATAAGTTATTCAAACATATTTGCTTGAAATAACTTATTACATTGAACTTAAAGTGGTCTGTTTTTATTCAAACATATTTGCTCTGAATTTACATTGAGCTCTCTGGATATCATCCTCCTTGGGTCTACCCATACGGATTACCTAGTTTTGCATAAACTATATATATATATATATATATATATATATATATATATAATGTTTATAAGACATTAAATTATGCCACTTGGCATCCTCCATAATCTACTTAGACTTTTCAGTTAACCTGATGAATGTCTCTTGAATTAATTTTTTTAAAATTAACATTTTTCCTTTTCTTTATAAATATTTGTTGCAAATTTGAAATCTTCACATTTGCCTTGATATAGTTTGTCACAGGATGAAACTCATCAGCTAAGATAAATTTTCCTTTTGTCTTTATTCATATACAAAACACATATAAACTTGTAAATAGGATAATATATTATGTTATACATCATACAAGATATTAAATATAGCAAATTTTGAACTATATATATATACACACACACACACACGTATATGTATGTATACATATAAGTAAATTTTGAACTATATATGTGTGTGCATACATATATTATGTATATATGATATCAATTTATACATACATATATATATATATATATATATATATATATATGATATAAAAGCTTAAAAGATATTAAATCAAGTAATAACACAAAAGTAACATGTCAACTAAAGTTCTGTATAGGGAGGTGAAATTCAGTCTCTTGTGCCTTTCTCAGTAGTGGCTATATATCAAGCTTGTACCACCTGCAAGATAGGGACAGTGCATTGGGTGGGGAGAAGCAATATATCTTATTCTTTTATTGGAAAGGTGATGTTCATTTTATCTTGGTTTCCCACTGATTCCATTAGTAAAAGAGATATTGGTCATTCCTTGCCAAGACATTTCTAGCAGAATAAAAGAAGGGATAAAGAAAGCATTGAGGAATTAGCATCTAAGAAAGAAAGAAAGATGGTTTTATCATGGAGAAAGAGAGAAAGGCAGAGAAGTGAATAAATAAAAGGAGAAAGAGACAAGTGAGTAAGGTAAAGGTTTCAAAGAAAAATCAGTGTCGGGATAGAAAAAAAAGAAAAAGAGCTAAAAAGAAAAGGTGAGCAGGGAGAAAGAAGAAAATGAGCAGTAAGAGAGAGAAAAATAAGAAAACATATAGAGAAGAAAGAGAGGGAACACAAAGAATATCAAAAAAGAGGAGAAAACAGAAAGGATAGAAGAAAAAAGAGAAAAGGCAAAGAGTATCAAGAAAAATAATGAGAAGAAAACATAGATAGAAAAAGGAAGAAGAAGAAGAAAAGATTAGCAAGAAAAAAAAGAAGAAAACATTGAGAGAAAAAAAAAACCTTGAGGGAAGAGAATAGTAAGAAAAAGGTGGTGATTGAGAAAACATAAAAATAGAAAAAGAAACAAGATGAAAGTTAGAGAGAGAGTGAAAACCATAGGAGAAAGAGAGAATGAAGAAACAGTAAGAAGAAAGAGAGAAAGGGGAAGTTGTATAAAAAAGGAACAGTGAGAAATCAAGTTGAAAGCAGTAAATGGAGAAAGAAAAACAATGTGAGAAAGAAAAATGGAGAATGCTAAAAGATAGAGAGTCAACTAGGCAGGAAGAGACAGAATAAAGTGGAATTTCTAAAACTACAACAACAAATATACTTAATAGAGTTTTTTTTTAAAATAAGAGAGGAGAATACAAAATTAAAATACGGATGTGGAAATATGAGAAGGAAGTGAAAGGGCTTACTTTATCTGGAGTGTTCTTTCACTTCCTGGCCAGCACAGCTAATTCACAGAAGCAGAAATTTACTAAGATTAACTTAGTCTGCCACAATCCTGGTGTGCCCTTTATTTATTGAATTCATTACACTCCTCAAAGATGAAGAAGAGACTTGAAGCAACAGAAATATGGTTCTACAGAAAGATGTTGAGAAAACTCTAGACCAGCATTTCTCAACCTTTTTACCCTTGTAAGATAAATTAAAATAAATTACATGTCTTAAGGAACCCCCGCATGAAAATAAAATTATATACCATATGTTTCTCATTTTATTTTCATCGTAGTTCACATGGTAAATATTATAGTATATGTTAATCAACGTGAAGTTGTTCCCCTTGTACCTTCTCCATGAGTGAGGTACGATTGAGGCGACATGATAGGGACAGTTGGTTACCACCACGTGGTGTTGGAAGGTCGCTAAATAAATTCTCTCTCTCCACACACAAGTCTTGTTGGAGTCAGTTATTTAATTCACAGTATATATTCTTGAATAACTGGTTTAAGCAAAAATTAATACTTCTTTGTCAAATTTTTCGGTAATGTTAAATAAAATTCATACAATTCGTTTATAAAACTTCATCAGGGAGTCTTCATTCACACAAAAATTCTAAACTCAAACATAAAAAATAAACATAAGTAACCAATATCATATACTTATAAACATTATACCTTATATAAACATAAGTAATCAATAACATATACCTATAATATAAATGTAAACAGAATGAAAACAAATAATTGTTGACATAAAGTAAATTGGGTAAAACTCTGTTCTTACGGAACCCTTGGGGACCTTTTGCAGAACCTTAAAGAAACTCTGCCCTAGACTGAACATGTGAGCAATGACAATGTTTTAGAGAAACAAAAAGGAAACATATACTTAATATCAGGAAGAGGCAGTTGAAATTTCTGGGTATGTAATAAGGAAGGAGGGCTTGGAAACACTGATACTCACAGGACAAATTGAGGGACAGAGGAAAACAACACGTAACATAATTGATGGGCTTGAATAGATGGTAGAACAGAGATTGGTAGAAATAACAAAAAAAAACCCAAAACTTATTAAGAGCTACAAGGGACAGGAAGATGTGAAGGGACATGATCGCCCTAATAGAAAAACTCAACTCTCCAAGTTTGGGTTCACTACTGCTGTGGCCTGGTATTGAACTCACAAGTCTTTGAGTCTAATCACTGGATCTAACCAACATCTTTATTCCCAAGGACACATGGCCCAGTGGATAAAGACAAATGGATTGGAACCAACATGGTCACCCATCTAGGTACTGGCTAGGTTCAACATTTCTTAACATATGGAAACTGGTGTTTTTAATGTGGTGTGGGCATAAATATTGGGATGGTGAATTTTAATGGATTCTAAGTAGAAACTTATAATTATTTCAGAATTTTTGTAAATTGATAATAATATAATAGATTTCAAAGTGAGCCTTATTGGGTTAATATAAAATTTGAGCTTTGAAAACAATATTTACTGCTATTTTCAAAGAAGTCTTAGTTTAAAAGCAAAACAAAAATTGGTCATGGGTATGAAGTGCATTTTAAGGCGACAGGTTGATGAGTCACATTAGCAATGTTTCAAGAGAGAAGAAAGTGATTTGGCCTATCACCTAAATGTCTCTCATGAACAAGGAGCGTTTGCTTTATTGAATAGCACTGTGGAAGAGCAAAGAATGGATTGGAAAAGGTTTAGTTCCTTTCTTAAGTGCCAAGGAGATTGGTCTTCTAATTGTTTGCCTTCAGGAAAAGGAGAATTTTGATTGTGAATGTAAGAAGCTTAGGGCAAGGCAAAATGATGGACAATCTTGTACACACACACACACACATATATATACATGGTATGAATATTAAATGTCAGTAATCATTCTGAATGTAAGCAGCAAGGAAGGACCAGAATGTTGAAAGGGACATAACTTTAGAATTCTAAGAGATTAGCTGAATGGCAGAAGTTCTGGTCTTTTCTTAGGTTTGTTCATGTCATTATCACTTCTTGAAGCCTTGACAGTTTGCGGATCTAAGGAGAGCAATTATAAAAGAATTTCTGATAATTTCAATGTGTATATTACTGATAAACCACATTCACACACGTTTCTTTTTCCTTCCTTTACTAACTGAGAATAGTATAAATGCATCTGGTTGAAAAGTGTATGCACACACACACACACACACACACACACACACACATATATATATATATATATATATATATATATATATATATATATATATATATATATATATATATATATATAAACTCTTGTCAAAGTGCAATGTATTATATCATGGTAAGTTTATAAATCATAACTTTTGAATTTTGGTTGTACTGAAAACATTATTAACTATTTCTACCAGAACAAGATAAGAATAATAAATTTACATACACACACACACACACACACGTGTGTGTGCGTATGTATATGTAACACCTTAAATATACTTAGACATTCACATAGATATGCATATATACACTAAAATACCCATATGCACACATACACACACACACATATATATATATATATATATATATATATATAAATTTAATCCATTTCCTTTAATATATATATATATATATATATATATATATATATATATATAAAGGACTATAGGAGGAAGTGCTATGTTCTTGGTTTAGCACTTAACTAAAATCTAAGCAAATTACCAAACATGAGAATTTTGATAGGCTGATAAATTTTCTGTGCTCTTTGTGTGTGTGTGTGTGTGTGTGTGTGTACATATATATATATGGTATGATATCTGTATAATATTAATATCATCCATATAGCCATGTACATAATATTAGACAGATATTAGATAATAACACTAATACTCACACATACACACAGTAAAAAGAATCTTCAGATAACCCACACTCAACAAAATTACATTTCGATTTAGTCACAACACATTACATTGCATCTAGACATTGGTTCTGTTGTAATACTTTGGTTTGTTGCATGATATGACATCATAAAACCACATTTTGAACTTATGAACTATTTCTATGTCAACATAACAAAATATTATCTTCGATGGTGAATATCTTTGTTAAAATGTCTGTATAACCATTCTGAAGATGGCTCATGTGAGTCGAAAGCTTAGATCAAGGACCAACTTAATAAAAAATATCCAAATATTGGACAATTTTTGTCTTTATTTTTACCTGAAATTAAAGCAAATATACAAACATTCAAATGGCTCATGATCAAACATAAGACATTCATATCTGTTATATTAACAATGTATGTTTAAATATATATATATATATATATATCACAAACTGCTGCCCAGAAGTTTAAGATATTCTCTCTTTCCTTTTTACCATCACTATAGTTACTACTGTTTTACCTTCCATACCTTTTCTTTTTTTTCCTTCCTCTCCTTTTTTTTTTCAATTTCCTTTCATCTCTTTTCCTTCTTTATCCCTCTCTGCTTTATCTTCTTTCATTCCATTAATCCAACTCACTCTTTTTTCATCCTTTATTTCCTTCTCTCTTTCCCAAGTTCATTTTTTTTCTCACACTCACTATACGACATGTAAACAAGAAGTAATTATTCCTTTGCCTCTCGTCCAGTCTCCACTGAATCTGTTCTAATCTCACAAGATGGTTTGAACTGATATTAGCTGTAAGTGCAAAAATAACATCTTTCATAGTTGGGATACAGTGGGGTACTGATCTGCTGTAATCTAAACTTGTTTACACACTATTATCAACTGCAGAGTTCACAGGATCGAAGCCCAAGACTAAAACACTGATATAGGCTTTGCTGAAAGAAGTTCTGTTTTGTTTTGTTTTTATTAAGGAATGTGGAAAAGCCAAAGTAAACCAGTTGAAGGCAAAAGGACATTGCTAGAATTTTTTCATTCAGTTTCTCTTAAGACATAAGCTTTTCATTCATGGTTCTTAAGCAATGGGAATTTTTACTTTAAGATTGCCAACAATATCTTTGCCTATTGGACTGTTTGGGTCAACAAAAAATGAAAAAATGTCTTTGTATAATAAATACATATTGTAAATTTTAATTCATATTTCACAAATATTAATTCCTTGAAGATATGTAAATATTTGGTTCATGTTGGCATGTAAATATGTCTGGTAAGATCTAAAAATCATGTAGAAGATGGCTGCGACATTTTGATTAAAAACTGGAACTGCATTTGTGTTGCTTTTAATCAATTAATAACTGTTTTGATCAATTAATTTTGTGAAATTCAAATTTCAATTTATAAGCGTAATATATATAAATAATCATTCAGGATATTAATAAATATAAATAATCTTCATATAGATAGAAAGAATCAATATTAGATAGATGCAAAAGAATAAACTGAGAAAGTAAAAAGAACGTAGATAGATAGAAAGAATCAATATTAGATAGACAAAATCAATATGAGATATACAGAAATAATATAAGATAAATAGAAACAACATTAGATAGATAGAGAATGAATAAACTCGGGTAGATAGACAGATTTGATTATAATAGTATGATCAAAAAGTATGGATAGATAGATAGATAGATAAATAGAATCAGTATGGTGGAGTAATGTATAGCGGCTCAGATTGAGGAATTGGAGAGCCGAGTTCAAATTCTAGTCAAATCCATTACATTCACTTATGTACTAATACCCTTTGGAAAGGTATGAACCCTCTTCTTCCCCTCCCAACAGCTATGGGTAAATAGCAGGATATACAGGGTTTTATAGCCTTGGATGGCAATTGGTCTACCACAGAAAGAAATGGCAAACTACTGTGGGAAAAAAATCTGCCTCATCAGTCATGTATTAAAAGATACATGATCGCCTAAGCATGTATCCCGTATGGCACATAACTGACAGATAGATAAAAGGGCTGAAAATAGATGGATAGATAAAAGGGCTGAAAATAGATGGATAGATAAAAGGGCTGAAAATAGATGGATAAATAAAAGGGCTGAAAATAGATGGATAGATAAAAGGGCTGAAAATAGATGGATAGATAAAAGGGCTGAAGATAGAATTAAATCAGTTAAATAGGTAGAGAGAATCACTATTAAAATTAATATTAGATAAATAGAATCAATACAGATAGAGATAATCAATAATATATAGAATTAATATTAAATAAAGAGAGATAGAATCAATATTAGATAGAGATAATCAATAATAGATCAATAATTAACAGACTGAGATAGATAGATAGGTAGGTAGGTACAGAGTTGCAAAAGAACAGACTGAAAAAATAAGAAAAATGGAGATAGATATATATTAAGATTTTGATGTTTAATATTTGCTTAAAAAATTTCTACTAATAATATCCTTTTTAATTTTAAATATATTACATTTTTATGAGAATGTATTTTCACTAATATTTTTAACTATAATTTTTCCAATACCTAAAATTAAATTTTCAATTACAATATTTTTTTCACTGTTTTTAATTTATTATTTTTTTTTTCATTTTAATAAATATTTTTTTTCAGATTGATTGATTAATTGATTTTTACAGTTTATCAACCTTTTTTATGGTTATTTAAAGCCAAAACATTTTTGGACTGTAAGAATTTTTTTGAGAACATGATGATTCTCTGGTAAAAGTTCTACTATTTAACCTATAGCTGCAAGGAGAAGAGGTGGCTTCATACCTTTCCCAAGGATATTTGCACATAAGGAAATATAATGAACCCAACTGGAATTTGAACTAAGTTTTCCAATTTCCAATTCTAACTTATTATCTATTATGCACATACATTGAAGCTTACTGCACATGGTATTCTTCAGGGGTCACCCATCTAGGTACAAATCAGACTCTATGTTGCTTAACTTCAGTAATTGGATGAGAACCAGTGATTCAATGTAAATGACTGTAACCCCCCCTCCACTTTTTTAAAATAAGTTTTGTCAGACTTGAGGCATATAAACTAGAATATAAATTTTTTATTAGTTTGATCTTGTTAGTTTTTTTTTTTTAGTTTTTTTTTTTTTTGTTATAATCATTTCACTCCTAAGCAAGGCAAGCATGTCAATAAAAAACAAGGATTTACTGAGAGTAAAAGTAAAGGAGCAAACATTATAAGACAATAAAAGAACAGGCTTCAGAAAGACATAAGATGACAATGTTGGATTTAGATATTTGAAGATTGCAGGTTATGGGGGAGAAGAAACTGAAAGAGAGTTTCACAGTTGAAAAGTGCTTGAAAAGAAAATATTAAAATAGAACTTATGGTTACATTTAGTTATTTCAAAAGTAAGATGATGAGACCTAATTGCCAATCTAGTAGAACACTTAAATTCATGTGGTTGAGGTACAAAAAAAAAAGCCCATTAAAATAATCCCCATGAAAAATGACAAAGGGAAGCTACTTCACAGTGGTGGGAAAGTGAAGTCGAGATGCCAGGTCAGGACTGATAACACTGCAGACCCTTCTTTGGATTTTGTCAAGATATATAGCAGGAGCACCAGACCAGATATAGCAGCAATAATCAGTGCACAGTAGAATGGTAGTTTTATAAACATGCAAGATGGATTTTGGCAAGAAAAACTGTCTGGCATGACACAGTAAACCAACTTTCCTGGAGGTTAGCATCAGACATAGAAGGCACAAATATTTCTCTATGATTACTAAAAGATGAGTAGATTTTGTTTTTTGATTTTACAAGGCAATTCTTGCCCTAGTTAGCAACTGGTTGGAGGTAATTTTTGAGAGCAGCTGCCAGTTTTACTTTGTTGGACTTAACAGATTTACTATTAAGACAGGAGTAAATAGTTGTGTCATCAGCATAGACACCAAGGGGACTGATGACATCAGGAAGGTTGTGGATGAAGATAAGAAACAACATGGGTCCCAGAATAGACTCCTGAGGGACCTCCGCCTTAATGTGAAATGAATGACAAATCCTCTCAAATGCCTTCAAGATGTCTAAAGTCACAGCCCAAGCCTTGCCTGGGAGATAAACTTGGTGATAACAGTTAACATATAAGTGATTCACCTAAAGAAACAAATGCCATATTGTTTATCTGAATGAAGGCCATGTGAAATGAGAATCTTAACTAATTCAGAGTTTATTAACTCTGCTAGTACTTTGCCCAAAAGCGATGTGTGTATATATATATATATATATATATGTATATGTATGTATGTATGTATGTCTGTATGTATGTATATATATATGTATGTATGTATATATATATATTTTACAGCAAAAAAAACAAAAATTACCTCAACATAGAGGATAGTCTATTTCAAGTCATTCTGTACACACCTATCATCAGCTCCTAATTGTCTGTCTCAGAACATTGTTCTGAGACGGACACTCCGGGGCTGATAATAGCCATGTAAAGAATGGCTTGAAATAGAATATCCTCTATGTTGAGGTAATTTTTTGTTTTTTGCTGTAAAAAATATATACGCTCTGTTATAATAAATACATTGAGCTCTCTGTGGATCAGTTTTAATAATTAATATTACTAGGATCCACCCAGGTTATATACCAATGGATCAATTACCTGTCCTATATATATATATATATATATATATATATATATATATATATATATAATGTAATAGAAATTTTGGAGATTTGAATAATTTCACAAATAATTCATCAAGTCTAGAACAAGAATCCTCAACTGAATGCAGAAAGCACTGGATGGGCATTTTGTCCTTTTAAGGACACATCAGCAGTGTGTATCCACTACCGAGAATCGATCCCTGACCATTACAATGCAAGCATCAAACCACTGGGCCAGTGAGCCTCAGTCATGAAGAGGAAACTAACAAGACTCTGTATAGTGCAGCTGCACCTAATTCCAGTGGTGATACTCATCCAAGTATACATGACCCACCAGAACTCATAATATCATGCTTGAATATAAGTTTGACACCACAGAACATATATAAAGATTTGAAAATGCAAGGGGCACCTCAAAGTGGTGTAATGGTTAGCAAGCTTCTATTGCTAGAACAATTATGACTGAGTAGTGGGTTTAGTCCTCACTGGGTGCACTCTAATTTTGGCCTGGTGCCACCTCTAAGCTGTGCTTGGAAAATCACTATAAAGATTTGAAAATGCAGGAAAGCATTCTTCTCTAATGATCCTTTTCAACCAACACTACGTCAAAAGAATGCGTTGGTAAATATTGACATAATAACAATACATACTGTAAGAAAAAATATAAGAAGGAGAAAAAAGAACCATGACTAAAATACAAATTTATTAATAAAAATGAGGGAGAAGAAAAAAGCACTACATGGGCAAAAGAGCCAATGTAAAAGGTTCCTAGTGAGTATAAAATGGAAAAATTCCCTCACATAACTCATATATATATATATATATATATATATATATATAGATGTTACTTAGTAATATGTTGCCCTGTTCTTTTTCTTCCTCTTGTCAATTTCGCTTAAATATTGCATATTATTTGACAGAAATCTTAGAGACTATAACACTCACCAAGCATGCCATATTAACAAGAAGCAAACAAAATAGTGAGTGACCTACTTTGAAAAGTTTGAGCCAATGGATGGATGAGCAAGTGCCATAAGGGTAATGAGGGTATTAAAAAATAAAGTGTCTTTGAGAACAAAAAATTCAAGAAGTAGTGGAGAATCATGATTAACCACGTCCTGAAGGGACATAAAACTCAGAGACAGAAAATAAATTACAATTCCAAATTGTTAAGTAAGTTTGCAAATAAAGTCTTGTACAACATGTCTGGAAGATGAAACACACTTTATTCTTTTTTTTTCTTTTTTTTTTTTTTTTTTTTTTTTAGCCGAATTGAAAACAAATGATTTTCTCCACTAAGTTAGGTGAGGGTTAAATGAGTAACTTTTCACTTCACTAAAGGAATCCATTCACTAAATTCCAAGGCATAAATCTATCTTTCTAGTTTTCAAGTTTCCAACCAGAGGAATTGTTGGTTTAACTTTTTAACAATCAACTAATCTTTTCTTTTTTGGACTGAAAAAAAACTAAAAATTCTCCAGTGTATCTCTTGCCTTTTTTAAAAGTTTTTGTTGGTCTTCTTTTACTTGCTTTTATTTTTTTTTACATAGTTTTATCCAATTCCAAAACCAGACTTTTGGCAACAATAATAATCTAAGACATTATTTGCATGGTTGATGCCTACTTCACCTTGAGCTATTTTCTCTCCTATTTCTTTTTCTTCTGTTTAGGATCTTCAGATTTGATCCCACATATGTTTGTGTGTGTGTTGTGTCTCTGTTCACCTGTGTGTCAGCATGTGTAAATGTGCATGCATGCATGCATGTGTGTGTGAGTGAGAACAATAAAATGGTACATCATTTCACACCTGATTGAATTCTTCATCATCAAATGCTGCAAGGCTTCAGTTATTTTCCATCAAACAGACAGTAATGAAGCCTTCATTTCTAGCAGATACTCACCTTCTACCTTGACTTCTTGAATCAGAATTTACGCAAGTTTTTGGTTGTTCTTTTGGGCTTTTGTGCACAAGATTCAATCTGCAAATACTTTGATACAAGGTATTAAGGCTTCCCACTCAACAAAGAGAAGTGAAACCAGAGAGAGAGAGAGAGAGAACAAATAGTTAAACACAAGGCGATGCAATTATCATCTTCCAGTCAGATTAAATGTAACGCACCCTCAACAATGACCCGGAGAGATTGTATGGAAAACAAAGTTTGGGGAGAATCTAAAAGTTTCTGAATTTGGAAGAACAAAATCAGAAAGATAAAAAAAAAAATCATGAGTGATTAAAAGAAAATAAGAAACTGAAAGACAATAAAAGGAAGGATAGAAAAAATGAAATTGGATGGCAACAAAATAAAATACAAATTTATTTGCAAGAATTTTCTTTACAATAATTTAGATCTCACTGCTATATATATATATATATATATATATATATATATATATATATATATATATATATAATCACTAGCCATTGGTTGAAAAGCATTTCGCATTGCATTCAAAAAACTGTTCAACATGCGTCAAGTTGGATTTGGTCAAGATCAAAACAAGCAAATAAAATGCACGCAACATCATGACTTAACATGCACAAGTGAAATATCTGTATGGTCGTCTATAACGATTTTTACGAGCGCATAAATGACGGCAAACGTGTTCACGAAACTTTCATTACAGATAGAATTTACTTAAAGGGACAATCAATTAGCTTATCTTCATACCCTGCCTGGTAGCAAATGCTGCTGGTGGCACCAGGGGTGGCGGTCCTGCCATAGCCACCGAAACCGTGATATCACCCCTGATCGGCGGCTGATGAAGACAGTGTATCGCCCGTGCTAACACACGCATGTTAAAAAAGGAAAAAAAAAGATTTATTCACTTCTTCCTTAATTTGCTCCGATAGTAATCCCTCTCATATTACTATAATAACCTGTAATAGCATGCTTGAAAATTCTACTCAAGTATTTACATGATATTTCTTTTAGCTTCTCTTGCCTTATGAGTGTTAAATTCTCCTATTCTTCTTTCCCAACAATGCGTTCCTGAAATTTCAACTGTCAGTTCCCTGTTGAAGTGCTGGTCATCATGGTTTTCTCTAGATTGCATTTCAAAGAATCATAATTGTCAGCTGATGGTTATCCACTTCTGGGTTTTATTTTACGGAACAAATCCCTGCCTTCATAATGCTTAAACTAATTTTTGTCAAATATTGTCTCATTTATTTTCCCCTCTTGAATTCTGCAAGCAGTTTCAGAGGCTCTGAAGCCCAAGTTTGAAATAATAGTTTAATATCTCCAAAATCACAGCACATGGATTCAACAATATAATTTCTGTCCGAACTTTGAGGATAGGGAGTTATCATTATTTCCATTATTTACGCACAGACTATTATCTCAATCTTTATTATCATCACAAACATTTTGGCTGTTGTACCCTCCAACCTTCATTAGGTTCTTGTCAATCCAGGTAACATTCAGGGAATGTCAAACTGAACCCTTTATTTGATCTACAAAGGTAGGTAGTCTTCATTCCATGTCTAGGGATATCTTGTCTAGTTCTTATTTAGTAGGGCTCAGTTATTACTCACCCCATTTCCAATAACCGAATCCATTAAGCTATTGTCCCATTGGTTCATGAAAGATTTCATTGGTGAAAGATTAGTATCTGTCTATATTTCTGAGATGAGGTATTATGTACACTATTTACATTATTCAAACTATTGTCCTCATCTTTGTTGCCATATTTATTACATTTTGGTAGTTCCAGTTTTATATGGTGAGAAAAGGGAGATCACAGACCTCTGTGTGATCAAGTTGAGATCTTAGACAAAGAACACTATTGGAAAATTCATAAACTTAAGGAATCAGCACATATGCTAGGCCACAAAAATCTCCTGAGCCAACCAAGCATAGAAATGAATACAATATGGGAATCAGTAATTAAATTCCTTAGCTGTAGTCTAGAATAAAAACCCTTAAAGTTTACAGCCACATCACAGTGAAACACTGGTTTTTGTATGATCACCAAAGTTAAGCAATAGTAAGCCTGGTAAGTACATAGATGGATGACTGCTTGGGCATACCAGGTGCTGTAAGCTTGGATGTGCAGGGGGTGTAATGGATAATGGCTTGGAATTTTTAATTGGAGAGCCGAGTTCAAATTCCAGCTAGGTTCATTATATTCACTTATACACCAATATCCTTGACAAAGGTATGAATCTACCTTTTATCCAACAGCTTTGGGTTAAGCAGGACTTGTATCAATAAAATTATTATTATCTCTAAAAAAAATTCTTGAAATCTAAAAGTCACTTCTGGCTTTAAATAACCTTCAAAAGTTTGATAAGCCATAAAAAACAAATCAATCTACAAAGTCCTGAAAATTTAGCTGTAGTCTGGTATTTGAAAATTCTTTTTATATATCATAATCGATAATTATAAGAGTCAAGTCAGATTGTCTTCAGATGCACAAGTGAAAAATTTTTTGCTGTAAAAATACTTTTTATATACTCTAATATAGTCATAAGTGTTGTGCCATAAATTCTTCTAGTGTTTTCAAAATCATTTCATCCTAAGTAAGGCAATAAAGCCACTAAGACATAGGGGTGCACTGAGTGTGAAAGAATATGAGAAAAAGAAAAACATTATCAAGGAGAGAGAACAACAAATGAAAAGAAACTAAGAAGATAGTAGTATAATGATTTTTGTTGCATTTAAATTTTTGAAGATCAAAATTGACTAGGAAGCAAGAGGCTGGAAGATAGTTCCACAAGCAAGAAGTATGAGAAAAGAAACTGTTAGCATAGAACTTATGATTACATCTAGTTATCTTAACTGAAAAATCATGAGACCTTTCAACCAATCTAGTACTGCGCTTAAATTCCGATAGTCTAGGTACCATAGAGGAAAATTCATCAGAACAAATTAAATACATGCGTACAATATCCTAATAGCTTAAATACAATTTCAAATATATAAATTTGTTTTAGTTAACACTAAAATCTTACCAAAATCAATGATTCTTTGTTTTCTTTTATTGATAATCAAACTTTCATTACCTACTATTATATATCTCTCAATCTGATTTTTTTTTATCCCTTGTATGTAATAATTTACTATCTTTGAAGTTCACTTTAAGAAAGCTTAATATGTTACCCTTCTGGCCAAAGTTCAACTTTGAACTAGAAATCTAATGGTGATTGTCCCAGAAACAAATCTCTAATTTTCTCAAATAAAAACATTTATAAATATTGCTTTTTATTTCTTCTTGCTTTTCTTTCTGTCTCTAGGAGCTTGCTATTTGAAAATTGTCTCTTTTGGTTTGCTAGATAAAACAATCTTCCAATTAGAAACTATTAGAATGATTGCTGAGTTAAAAGGCTCTTCTTTCACTACAAATGATGCTATTAAAGTGTTGATGACAAGAGAATTATGCTTTTAATAAAGCTACAGGTCTAAAATCTTACTTTGACTGCTTACTGAATGCTCAGAGCCAAAAGTACAGATGGTAATCAAATAAAATACAAGGCAGTGGGTCAAATTGGCAGCAATTAATAATATTATGGAGTTTTGTATTTGAATCAGACATTGTCTGCTGTAAATAATAGCTTGAGTTTGGTTAGATTGATATGATTGGGCAGGAGATTGAAGAAATGTGGAGTCTGTTGGTGTAATGTGCTAAAAAAATAAAAAAAGACAATGAAGAAGAGGAAGGTAGGTAAAGACAAATGTGATATAAAATATAGGGTGAGAAAGAAAATAGAAAAAAAGAAAGGGAAAAACGAGATGTAGAAAAGGATAGAATAGATAAGTAGAAAGAAAAGGATAAATGAAATGTAGAGAGCGGAGGAAAGACAAAATTGAAGACAAAAAGAAAGAGTGAAATAAGGAGGATAAGATAGAGGGAAGAAGAAAAGAGAGAAGAGAAGAAAAAGGACAAATAGAATGTAGAGAGCGGAGGAAAGACAAAATGAAGGAAGAAAAGAAAGAGTGAAATAAGGAGGATAAGATAGAGCAAAGAGGGAAGAAGAAAAGAGAGAGGAGAAGAAAGAGGTTAAATAGAATGTAAAGATAAGAGAAGTATAAATAAAAAGAGATAAAGATTTTGTAAGTAAAAAAGAAAATAGTGATAACCTGCCACGCTGTATCTCTCCTCCGATATGGCAGTGAATGCTGAACAATTTCCTAAAATTTGACATAGGTGTTCATTGATTTTTTTTGTAGGGGGGTGTTGCATGCAATAATGAAGTCATATACCTTTTAAAGTTCTTAGCACCATTGTTTTGGAAAAAGAAAATGTGGAAAATTTTGTACACACCCAAGATATATTTACCTGGGGGTGCATATGAGGGTGTGTATGATAAAGGCTAAAAATTGTTCTACAGTAACCAGTGATTTATACTACAACTATAGTGAGGTATATTTTATTATAGTTTCTGGAAGAGAGCACATAATCTGGTGATCAGGAGTTGTACAATGCCAATACACTCAAACTCTCAGTCAAAATGAATTCTGATTTTATGATAACAAATATAACAATGTTTTCCTCTTGTTTATGAGAAAATATAGATGGAATTTTTTTTTTTTTTCAAAAAGCTGTTTGTTTGGAGAGATAGATAGATAAAAACCAAACTGAGAAAGAAAGCAAGAAACCAAAACTAGATAGATAGTTATATAGATAGATAGTAAGAGACTGAAATAGATAGATAGGATGAGAGACTGAGACAGATAGAGAGACATAGATAGATAGAGAGGGAGAGAGTGAGATATCAAGATAGATAGAGAGGGAGAGACTGAAATTGATAGATAGATAGATAGATAGGATGAGAGACTGAGACAGATAGAGAGACATAGATAGATAGAGAGGGAGAGAGTGAGATATCAAGATAGATAGAGAGGGAGAGACTGAAATTGATAGATAGATAGGATGAGAGACTGAGACAGATAGAGAGACATAGATAGATAGAGAGGGAGAGAGTGAGATATCAAGATAGATAGAGAGGGAGAGACTGAAATTGATAGATAGATAGATAGGATGAGAGACTGAGACAGATAGAGAGACATAGATAGAGTGAGAGACCGATATAGAAAGATAGAGGGAGAGACTGAGATATCAAGATAGAGGGAGAGACTGAGATATCAAGATAGATAGAGGGAGAGACTGAGATATCAAGATAGATAGATAGAGGGAGAGACTGAGATATCGAGATAGATAGATAGATAGATAGATAGAGGGAGAGACTGAGATATCAAGATAGATAGATAGATAGAGGGAGAGATGAGATATCAAGATAGATAGATAGATAGATAGAGGGAGAGACTGAGATATCAAGATAGATAGATAGAGGGAGAGACTGAGATATCAAGATAGATAGATAGAGGGAGAGACTGAGATATCAAGATAGATAGATAGATAGAGGGAGAGACTGAGATATCAAGATAGATAGATAGATAGAGGGAGAGACTGAGATATCAAGATAGATAGATAGATAGAGGGAGAGACTGAGATATCAAGATAGATAGAGGGAGAGACTGAGATAGATAGATAGATAGAGGGAGAGAGTGAGAGACTGACATTGATAGAGGGAGAGAATGAGATAGATAAATAGAGTGAGAGACTGAGACAGATAGATAGAGGGAAAGGGAGAGAGTGAGAGACTTAGAGTGAGAAAGAGAGAGATGGAGAGAGAGAGAGACTGAGATAAATAGATAGATAGAGGGAGAGAGTGAGAGATAAACAAATAGAGAGAGTGCGAAACTGGGCTAGAGAGAGGAACTGAGATAGATAGATAGAGAGATAGATAGAGAGAGTGCGAAACTGGGCTAGAGAGAGGGACTGAGATAGATAGATAGAGAGAGTGCGAAACTGGGCTAGAGAGAGGGACTGAGATAGATAGAGAGATAGAGAGAGTGCGAAACTGGGCTAGAGAGAGGGACTGAGATAGATAGATAGAGAGATAGATAGAGAGAGTGCGAAACTGGGCTAGAGAGAGGGACTGAGATAGATAGATAGATAGAGAGAGTGTGAAACTGGGCTAGAGAGAGGGACTGAGATAGATAGATAGATAGATAGAGAGATAGATAGAGAGAGTGCGAAACTAGGCTAGAGAGAGGGACTGAGATAGATAGAGAGATAGAGAGAGTGTGAAACTGGGCTAGAGAGAGGGACTTAGATAGATAGATAGAGAGATAGAGAGAGTGCGAAACTGGGCTAGAGAGAGGGACTGAGATAGATAGATAGAGATAGATAGAGAGGAGTGAAACTGGGCTAGAGAGAGGACTGAGATAGATAGATAGAGATGGATAGAGAGAGTGCGAAACTGGGCTAGAGAGAGGGACTGAGATAGATAGATAGATAGAGAGATAGATAGAGAGAGTGCGAAACTGGGCTAGAGAGAGGGACTGAGATAGATAGATAGATAGAGAGATAGATAGAGAGAGTGCGAAACTGGGCTAGAGAGAGGGACTGAGATAGATAGATAGATAGAGAGATAGATAAAGATATGGATATAAAGATAAAAATCATACCAAGAAAGAAAGAAACCAAACTTAGATATATAAAGATAGTGTGATAGATACAT